AATTGCTTAAGATAAGAGTAACAGAAAACTCCAAAAATTTTACTGTAAAGGGGGACATAGAAATAGGGTACAAGCTGAAAGGAAAGTGGGGTCAAATGAGTATTTCCTTTTTAATTTTAAAAAATGATGGGTCCTATTCAGGATATTTGTGTGTGATATACAGCATTAGAAGGAGTTCTGATGGTGTAGTAGATTATGAACGCAGCTTCTAACTGCAAAGTTCGAATCCACCAGTTATTCTGATGAGGCTTTTTGCTCCAATAAAGATTTACAGCTGCAGAAATCCTATACTGGGTCTCTATGAGTTGGAACTGACTTGGTGGCTCATAACAATCACCACCATACAGCATTAGAGAGGAAGACATTGATTGAACAGTGGAATGATAGCAGAATTATAATGGAAGGTGATAGGATTCTCTGGTATGAATAGAAAAATTTAGTAGAATTGGTGGCCTACTTGAGGTTTGTGGTCATGGATTTAAGGTGAGACTAGTCAAAGTGTTTGTTTTTCTTAGTTTTTATTCAGCTGCTTGGATACAGGCATGAGGTAGGTAGAGAGTTGGGATCAGACAAAGATTGGAGGCTTCCAGGATGGTGTTCATGATGTTGATGATGTTTGCAAAGGATTGTTTATAATAAGGGACTGTGGCATCTGAGCTGATTAAGGAGGGAATGACAACAGGAAACATGTGATGGATAGCGAGCATAGTGTCTATGGTTTGGAAGTGCTGGAGGGTCAAAAGTTGTTCTAGTAGGAATAGTACAGAGAGAAATGGAAAATTAAAGTTGATGATCAGAGTTAGATATCTGAAATCAAGATATTAGAGGTGATACAGTTGGTGATGAAAAAATCTAGGTTATGAACTTGGGCATGACTGGCTAAGGCAAGAGTGGATAACAGATTCCTGGAGGTAACATCAAGGATCAAATATGTGAATGTAGATGTCGTCAGGAGTAAGGAGTTAGAACTTCTGGAAAGAAGAGACACAGCGGGATTATAAATAAAGTGAGACAGTGGATATTATTTGATGGTAACACCTTCTGTATCTCAGAATGTGATCCTAAAGACCTTGACTTGCCATCTTATGAGCAGTCGTGGGGAAGGGCATGTTCTTGATGGTTCATTGGACATGTTTTTGCGCTGGCTGCTCTGTAATCTGGTTTATGGAGGAGGTAGAGAAGATTCCAGGTTTTGCATAGGAACATGTCCTTGCCTTTGCTTCCATGCTGTCTTCTGGCTGCTGAAACACCGAGAATTTTGATGGATGCTTGACCAACTGTGGGAACAGATGGTCTTTCCACAGCAAGTCAACAGTAATAGAGGTGAACAGAGACCCCAGACTTGGGAGTGGTTAAACTCCATCACTACAGGGACAGGGAGGAGAGGTCATTGTATGGGTGTTGGGGTAAGAAGAACACAAGTAAAGAGGGCAGTACTGTATCACCCTAGGAAAGAACACCCACAGTGGTTTCCCATTCATCATATGGGGTTTCTCAGAGGGTTTCCCTTCTCAACTCCATCGTCTCCACCCTCAACCTAGTATCACAATTTGGTTTAACAATGAAGATCTGTACGGCCTGAGTGTCAAGCCTCTCAGAATGGAGCATACGTAGCTAGCGGGACTAGGAACATTTTTTGGTGGCATTGCTTTTAGTCCGTTTTATCACAGCACTCTGAGTTGGGGCTGATATCCCATAATTGGACATTTGATGCAGGAAAATGACAACTGTTTAAATAACAGGCTCTCCAAAGTATAGTCTTTTTCTAAGGCTTATTATTATGTTTAGGTTTCCAACCTTTGTTTTTTGAAGATTCTCTCCCTTTAGTTTTTCTTTTAGTTTTTGTCCTGTAGCCATCTTAAAAAGCGGGGTTGGCATGCCCTTTTAGCTACGGGTCTTTCAAAATTCTACTTCACAAGGGTTATACTTGTAAGAAGCTTTGTGCGCCATTATGTTCTAGTCATATCTGGGAGGCTGTGTAATACAAATGTTAGGACTCTAGAAAATCATATAGACCTAAGTGTAAACCTCAGCTGTGCCACATGCTTGCCTTCCCTGAACTTTAACCCTCCTTGAACCTCAGTTTCTTCCCTTGGTCTGTACGTCTTCACTCACAGTACTGTTATGGGATCATATGAATAAAACATGTAAAGAGCTGAGCATAGTAGCTGACACACAACAAACTTTCAACATATCAATAATACTGAGCTTATTATAATCAATTAGATTACTGGTGTGGTGCTGTCGGATCAGTACTGGACTGCAAACCACCAAGTTGGCAGTTCAAACATTATATAAGGTCTCTATAACTTGAAACTGTCTTGATGGCACTTAACAACAATAGCAACAACATATAATCAACAAAATCATTATTGTTGTTGAAACCAAAGGCACTAGCTGTAAGTTCTTCAGGCAGAAAATCTTAACATTGACTCTTTGAAAAGGCATTGAAGAGTCTAAATTCCATTCTCTTAGCCATTTAAAAAGATAAAAAAAAGTTAAGATTCTGTTCTAATATGATTTTTTTTTAATGTTTATTGTGAATTATGTGATAGTTTACATGGGAAAGCATTACCTTTACATTCATTCTATCGTATATCTATCGTTTCATTGCCATGGTTACGATCCCCTCCATGCATCAACCAACCAAAGGGTACCCTGCAAGCCTGCCCCCCAGAAATCAGCACACAGCCCCTCTCTACCTCTCTGGGTTTAAAGTCCCCAGTCACTCCATCTCTCCACATCATCGTCTCTGCCTCCATCTCTGGCGTCACTGGTTCTCTGGGTAGGGTCCCGCTCTTCTCCCTGAGGGTCCCAGGGACCTCCGCTCCTGGACTGCAAAGTCAATCAGTCCCCTTCTTTTGGTACAAAACATCTACCTTTACATTTCCAACCCTCACAGTCAGTCCTGATAACAATTATTCACTGTTGTATCACAAGAGACCTATCCTCATCTCCTTTCATCAGTCCTGCCCAGACAGATTAGATACTACTCAGTGGAGAGTCTACCTTCCTCCATGCCCTCTGGATCTAGGCTCCCTCTTGAAAGCTTGTAAGCCAGTCACTTCTTGCCTTTGTAGCCCCCTTATTTTGGGTAGCCAATGTCCAAGTTGCCCATCCTTGTCTACTATGTATATGGAGGGAGTGGGAATGATCCTCACTCTAAAGATTTATTTCCTCTTTTGAGCTATTTCATCCATAGGTGTAGGGCAAGTTCACAAATTGTATCAGATTACTCTTTTTATCCTCTCCTTTCTTCTTCTAGTTAAGCTCTGATCATCTAGTCATTGAAGCCAGGTCAAGTGGGTATTATTTGCAAGTGTGGGTGTTCTTATGCATATGCCCTCTCTTCTTATCAGCTGGATGCTTCACTCTCCACTCTAGACTTCTGTGGCTATGTTACTGACTCTGGGCCAAGAGTCCCCAGGTCTTGCCACACTGCTGGCCAACGAGGTCTCCAACTGGGTTCACAGGAGTCTATTGAATGTTGTAGGGCTTAGCTTGCAGCTTCATTGTTGCTTTTCCCTCACTTCCATGGTCACCAATCAGAGTGTGTATTCCCATTGAGTCTTAGTCTTGGAAGGGAGTTTGCTCTGAGGGGACCCGACCACTTGTCTTGATATCTCCTGGGCGAGCAAATTGCTTGTTCTTATATAATCAGTCAGACTGCCGTTATTGTTTTGTATTTTTTCTGTAGGTCTTTCTTTCAAGAAGTATCTTCTGTTCTTCTAGCCACTCCAGGTTGGTCTGCTTGTACTTCCAAGTGGAAATTTCCCACCGCAGAAGATTCTGGATGCTGTTCAGGATTCCACCTATGGTCTTATGTAATGCAGAGGCTCTGCAGGAAGCCTCCTTCACTGGGCATGTTTTATTCCCATTTTAGGTATTCCAATCAATTATAGACAGAAGATGGGCTTAATAAGCTTTCTATGGTGATATTCCTGGCTATTCCTTTCTCTCCTGCTCAAGTGTCTATTTTATAATGGTATGCCAGGGAAACCAATGTTCAAAAGATAGCCAAGCATCTTAACATATTTATTTCCCCCTTTTCCCCATTCCAACCATGTCTCAATTCCTGTATCCCAGAGCACTGTTGTTCCAAGGTTGTGCATACATACATCATTATTTACCTCTGTCCTATGTAGCCATGCAAACCTGCCTAATTGTTTTCCCTTCCGCTTTGTTCTTCCACTCCCCTTCCCCTTCTTGTGTATTGCTCCCCTCCCTAGTACCCAAAGTATCCTATGTCTATTTCCTGCCCTGTGCTCCACCTTCGCCTCCCTCCCCTCACCCCACTCCCCACATCACGGTAACCAGTAAAGAATCGCCCCCCTCTTTAGTATGGGTTCTTTTTCTTAGTCTTTTACGGTAGTGGTCCTATGCAGTATTTCTCCTTTTGTGACTGACTAATTTCACTCAATGTAATGTCCTCAAAGTTCATCCATGTTATGCGGTGGCTTGCAGCTTCCTGGTTATTCTTCAGGGTAGCATAGTATTCCATTTTGTGTATGTACCACAGTTTGTTTATCCATTCTTCAGTTGATGGGCACTTAGGCTGTCTCCATCTTTTTGCAATTGTAAATAGTGCTGCTATGAACATTGGTGTGTATCTATCTACTCGTGTTATGGCTCATATTTCTTGTGGGTAAATACCAAGTAGAGGAATTGCTGGATCAAAAGGTATTTCTATTTCCAACTGTCTGAGGAAGCGCCATATTGCTTTATAGAGAGGTTGGACCATTTTGCAATCCCACCAGCATCTAATATGCTTTTAAGAGAAGTTGGGGCTAGAATCTTCCCTAAAATCTTTGTTGGAAGGATGGCACATTAGTCAGGACTCTTGGTTTAAAATGACAAGACCCAATTCATACTGGTGGTGGTTATGTGCCGTGGAGTCAGTTTTGACTCATAGCGACCCTGTACAGGGTTTCTGAGGCTGTAAATCTTTATGGGAGCAGAAAAATAAAACTATAAAATTCAAATAAACAGGGTTAGAACTATCATGAGACACAGTCTCTCTCACCTCCACCTCTCTGTTTCAGCTTTTTCCCCTTTTCTTCTATCTTCTTTTTTTTATGCCATGTCAGTTTTCTTCTATTTATTGGTTCTCTTCTCTTATGATCTTTAATTGGTGAGGCACATGCCATGGACAATACTGGAGTAATGGCCACAGGCCTGGAGAACAAAGGGAAAGAACAGTGATTTTATCAGCTCCAATTGGTGGCAATTCCAAAGAATTATTCTGATTGAATCACCATAAGTCACAATTCCAGCCCTAGGGGATGGAGACCTTGATTGGAAACTCTATCAAAATCATATGAATCAAGTGAAAGGGGAGCAGGTCTCTAATTAACAGAGGTGCAGGAGATGGGTGCTTTTGTGGTCTCAAACAGCTAATATCCATTACACTTGAAAACCCTGGAAACCTCAGCTTTTAAAATATTCTCAATATCTTGTTCAATTTTATTCTGGCCTACAAGCTATAATGATTAAGACTCTAAGTATGTAGTTGCTATCTTGGATTCAGAATCTGTGTCTGATGTATTTTAGATGTGTGATATTTAGCAGGTTACTCAACCTCTCTTATGCCTTTGCTTTCTTACATACGTATTGGAGATAATAGTAGTACCCACCTCACTGAGTGGTTTTGGGGATTAAATGCCATAATAGAATTTAACACAGTGTTTGTCACAAATGAAATGCACATGATAGAGTGTTATTAATACATCACTAGGATATCGTCTGCCAGTGTCCAGGCACTGATCACTAGTTAAACCATCCTTAATGAGGCTCACGACATGCTCAGTTGTCCCAATGGTTTGGTATTTACTGGATGTCAAATTTGTGGCCACATCTGAGAATTTATCTCATTGGGGAAAAACAATAGGGAAAAATAAGATGACACACAAACCCCAAACTGAAACAGTTATCATCACGTTGACTCCAGCTTATGGTGATCTCATGTGTGTCTGAGTAGAACTATGCCCCATAGGGTTTTCATTAACTGACTTTTCAGAGGTAGATAACTCGGGGTATACTCAAACCACCAATCTTTCAGTTAGAAGACAAGTGCTTACTAGCCTGCTCTACTCAAAGACTCCTAGATATGACACACGACACTTAAACAATACAAAGCAAAACAAAAAACCAAAAAGCAAAATCTAAAACAATAACACTCTACCTCCTAAACAAACAAATAACAACTACAGTCAAAATCATAGCCTGAGAAGAACAAACATTTGAAAAAAGGCATGAAAAGATTAAGTAATTTGTCCAAGATTATCCAATCCAAATATCTTAGTCTTGGTTCTCTAGAGAAGGAAAACCAGTGACATTTATTTATATTCCTAGTGTGGTGCTGTCGGATCGGCACTTGACTATTCACCACAAGGTTGGTGGTTCAAACTCACCAGCCACTCTTTGGAAGCCCTGTACAGACAGGATAACTATGAATCAGAACCGTCTCGATGGCTCTTAACAACAACTATATATAGTTGACCTTGCAGTTCAAATCGTCTTTGCAGTCCACTGCATTAACTCACAGCACCACACCAGGACTCCTCAACAGTCCTGATGTGATGCTGTAGGATAAGAATTCGACTGCAAGTTTGGTTTGAACCACAAGGTTGATGGTTCAAACTCACCAGCTGCTCCTCAGAAGCCCTATACAAGGTTGCTGTGAGTTGGAACTGACTTGATGGCCCTTAAAAACAGAAGCATCATAAATTTACCAAGGAACTGGTTTATATCAAGGAACTAACTCACACAGTCACAGAGACAGGCAAGTTTGAAGTCTGGGGTCAGATGTTAGGTTGGCATCAGATGTCAGGCTGAATGCTTCTCCTGACTCATGCAGATGCAAGAGCTGATGAGCCTAAGAATAGCAGGTCAGATGGCATGTTTCTGACTGTAGAGCCCAATCGATCTAAGGTCAGCAGGTAAGATGGTAGGCTACAGACGACTCCCAGGATTGGCAGGCGATACACTAGGCTTGAGTCTAGAGGAGATCATATAACAAGTTAGATGCAGAATCCAGACCTAGCATAATTCAACTCAGGCCTGCCAACCCCAAAGCCTGTAACCTTCAGTACTCCCTTCTGTCCTCTGCTCCACACTCCAATGCCTGACTGTCAAAGCCTCCTGCCATTGAGCTGCATCCTGCTCAGACATTTTTATTCATAACATTTTGTCTTTTCTTGAGCTTCTTCCCTTTCCTATAATGCCTTAATTTCTCATCCTGCCCTGTCTAACTTCTTTAAGTAAATTTCTCCTTTTCCATGAAGTCTCCTCAGAATATTTCTACTCCACTATCTGCTTCTCTGGCTGCAGATGGCCTTTGTCCATCAGGAAAAACAGATCAACACTTCATTGTTCTTTGGAAGATGTCCAGATGTTCATTAACTCTTCCCTTCAGCTGGAGAGCCCATTTCTTTGAGTCTTTCATTCTTTATAAGGCTTTATGCAAAGTTGGAAGACTGTTAAATTTCAGGATGGAGGGATCCTAACACAGGATTTAGGTAGCATAAAATTAAAGCTGAGCTTGTCTGGAATCTCAATATACAATGTCTTAGGTTTGCATTCCAGGAAGACAAAAGTTGAAAAAGGGTCAAAGGCTTTCAGAGAGGACAGGAAAAAGTCACAGTTTCAAATTTCTCATTAAATTCAAATTATAATTACAAAACATATTATTGCCATTGGTATAATTTGCTGATGTAGTGCCATCTAGACCACTTAGATATACTTCTTCCTGGTTTATACAGAATCTTTTTTCTGGATCTCACAACAAAGATTAAAGGGTCAGGCTTACATTGCCACTGTTATCACCCCTGGAGAATGCAAGGATCTATAGGTCTCAAGGACTCCTGGTGTGGTGCTGTTGGTTAATACACTGGACTGCAAAGCCCACTTGGACTGGGAGACTTGAGGTTCAAGTTCACCTGTTTCTCCTTGGAAACCCTATTAGGGTCACTATAGGTCAGAACCTGACTCGATGGCACTTAACAACAACAACAACATCAACATAGGTCTCAAAGGAGGTTCACAGTAGCTCATTTTACCCTCCCTGCAGCCCAGTGAAGTCACTGGAATTGTAATAGTAATTTCATCTCACCCATGAGCAGTTAAGGGCTCCTGGCACCACAGGGAGTTATTGGAAAACCCAAGACTGGAATTTAGAACTCTTCCTCTTGAGTCTGGATTGATACCAATGTCATATAAGAAAAGAATAGAGTCCAAAGAAAAGTATTGCCCAATTCCCACTTAGTCTATCAACTGCATTTCTCCCTTCTGCTCTATCCTAAATCATTTTCTTCAGCCCAAGATGAATTCTCAGCTCCTTAGCCCTGGGCTTCTTTCTGTCTAGCTGATGGTCTGCTTGAGGGAACTATTTGTAGAGGCAGAGTAACCAGGGACTGGCAGCTGTGCCTTCTCACTTCTTGCAGTTCTTCTTCCAGGAGCCTCCCAATATATATTCTTGGGCTATTTCAAAATATACACTTACTTTTGAATAGGAGAAATTTGTGTTTTGTTACTGAACCTGAGCACAGAAAGCTGAAATTTCAATTAGGCTTTTGTTTCTTTTTCCCATAGACAAGAAAAAGGGGGAGAAGATAGAAAAGAAAGGGGTAGGTGGGAGGGAATGTGTTCTCGTGCCACCTTGAAAGCCTTTCTGATCCTGAACTTTTCTGTTTCAACAGTGGCAGCCTGACCAGAATCTTATTTTCTTCCTGGACTCCTCGTCCCTAATTTGCTTGCTCATTGCTAGTCCCACTTCCTTTCTTTCAGTGTCACTGTAGTGCTCTGTTCTTGTTTAACAACTTCCAAGTCTTGCTGATGATCTATCTCCTTTCAGACCTCTTCAAATAGATTAACACCTAGATTGTTTGTTGTTGTTGGTGTACCCTGTATAGGATTTATGTAAATCTTTACAGGAGCAGAAAGCCTCATCTTTCTTGCATGGAGTGACTGATAGTTTCAATCTGCTGACCTTGTGTTTGGCAGCCCAGTTCTTAATCCACTATGCTACCAGGCACCTAACTTCTTTCAAATGCTACTGTTTGTTGTGTTCTTGTTGAGTGCTATCAAGTTGGTTCTGACCCATAACAATCCTGTATAGGGTTTCCAAGGAGAGATTGGGGAGCCTGAACTGATGACCTTGCCATTCAAACCAACTTTGCAGTCCAGCGCATTAACCCAGAGCAACACACCAGGATTCCTTAAATGCTACTAATGATGGTTAATAATGGATGAAATCATAAAATGTCCAAGTCAAAACTTTGGCAATCTGGAAAAAGTAAGACATGATGGAATTTCAAAAGAAAGTTAAGAAGACTGAGCTCCAAGGATTATGGAGAAGTTGTTTCAGAGAAGCTAGTTAAATGCTACTAGCAGGAGAGAGAGAATTTTGAACTAGGATGAAGGAGATCTAGATTCTTGTCCAAAATACTCGATAAAGAAATAATTCATTCACTTATTCATTTATTTATCAAACAGTTAAATGTCCACTCTATGCCAGGCATACATCCGGGGGATATAGATACGAATAAAGGACAGCTCAATAACAGAAATCACTTACTGTCTGTGAGGAGAAAAACACATGAACAAACAAAAATAAGGCAGTGTGATTGTGTAGTGATTGTGACAGGCCTAAACTGGAAGGAGCACATAAAGTCTTAGATTTACATTTCAGGAAGAAATTGGTTACAAGGAGACTAAGCTTTGCAAGGAGGGAGGAGACTGGCACATTCTCTGGGAATATGGGAACACATTTAGGAGGCCCCAAAAAATTTTCTGAGAGGGGTACAGTTAACCTGAGTCACAGAAACGAACCAAGAGAAAAGAAAGAAATAGGGCAAACATGCAAAGTAGAGGAGGTAGTTTGAACAAAGGCACATGTCCTGAAACAATGTGGTGTGTGTATGCTGGAGGGTAAGGGTTGTACTTGGTTGTTGTTGTTAAGTGCTGACAAGTCAGTTCCTCACTCATAGTGACCCTAAATAGGGTTTCTGAAGAGTGACTGGTGAGTTTGAACCACCAACCTTACAGTTCAAACTGACCTTGCAGTCCAGTGCATTAACCCACAGTACCACACCAGGATTCCTGTACTTGGTAGATTAGAGCATTTATTTGAGTTTATTGCTGCTATTGCTCTGTCCAGAGAATTCTTAGAGATGAGT